AACATACATACATGTACATGTGACCCCTTAAACTGTAAACATACATACATGTACATATGACCCCTTTAACTGTGAACATACATACATGTACATATGACCCCTTTAACTGTGAACATACATACATGTACATATGACCCCTTTAACTGTAAACATACATACATGTACATATGACCCCTTAAACTGTAAACATACATACATGTACATGTGACCCCTTTAACTGTAAACATACATACATGTACATGTGACCCCTTAAACTGTAAACATACATACATGTACATATGACCCCTTAAACTGTAAACATAAATAAATAAATAAATAAATAAATAAATAATCATATGACCCCTTTAACTGTAAACATACATAAATAAATAAATAAATAAATAAATAAATAAATAATCATATGACCCCTTTAACTGTAAACAAAAATAAATAAATAAATAAATAAATAAGTAAATAAATAAATAAATAATCATATGACCACTTTAACTGTAAACATACCTACATAAATAAATAGATAAATAAAAAAACAAACAAATAAATAAATAACAATATGACCCCTTTAACTGTGAACATAAATAAATAAATAAATAAATAAATAAATAAATAAATAAATAACAATATGACCCCTTTAACTGTGAACATAAATAAATAAATAAATAAATAAATATGACACCTGTAACTGTCAAAATAACTAACTAAATAACTAACTAACTAACTAACTAAATAAATAAATAAATAAATAACCATATGACCCATTTAACTGTAAACATAAATAAATACATATCCATATGACCCCTTTAACTGTAAGAATAACTAACTAACTAACTAACTAACTAACTAACTAAATAAATAAATAAATAAATAAATAAATATCCGTGGGCTCCCTCAGTACAGATTTATTTTATAAACATAACCCACCAGTTTCTTATTATATCTTCTTATTGATTATTATTATTGTAATTGTAATTTTTAGTTATGTTGTTATAGCTAGTCTTGCTGAGTCCCTGCTTGCACTCAGTATGCAAAGTACATTGCCCTTAACCATTATGGGACAATAAGCATACCTAATAATCTCTCTCTCTCTCTCTCTCTCTCTCTCTCTCTCTCTCTGCAACCCCCCCCCCCCCCCCCCCCCCCCCCCCCCCCCCCCCCCCCCCCCCCCCCCCCCCCCCCCCCCCCCCCCCCCCCCCCCCCCCCCGTTTCCTGCGTTTCCTGGTTACACAGAACTTTCTGACCATATAGTATACAGTTATAGAAGGGATTTATTTATAATCGCACTATCCGTTATCACCCAGATGAGGATGGCTTCCCTTTTGAGTCTGGTTCCTCTCAGGGTTTCTTCCTCATATTGTCTCAGGGAGTTTTTCCTCATCACCGTCACCTCTGGCTCACTCATTAGGGATAAATTCCTACATTTAAAATTTATATCCTGATGTATTTGATGATGTCCATTATTAAAAGCGCTATACAAATAAAATTTAATTGAATTAATTCCTAGGGTCTTAATTATTGCTATTTTTATTTGTCATATGTCACAGTTTTTAAAAATATTACTTATTTAATTGCTCTTACTTGCACTTATAAACATGTAGGCCATTGCTTCAGAATGGCATCAGATCACAATGCCTTCTGAAGTCTACAGTTATAGTTGCTCAATTCTTGTACAGATCTTCTCTTTGGCTGTTAAGGTTTTGTAGTAGCAGCCCCTGATTGACAGTAGTTGGACCCTCATACTAACAATCATTTCTTTGGGCATGTAAAGGTACATTTTAGCTAAAATCCACAATATGACTTGTGACACTGTAAGTCTGGTTTGGAATTGAATAAACTTTCTATATTCCCAGGGAGGGGAGTGCACTGTCATGTGCACTCCCCTGGCCAGGGATCAAACCTGGGCCGCCGCAGTGAGAGCACCATGGCCTAACCACTAGTCCTCCAGGGACCCCAGCATCATCAACACAGCATAAAATATAAATACACAATATTGGAATCTGGTAGCTCTCAAACTAGGCACTTATAAGTAGGTTTCTCTTTTCAGTACTGTTATTTGTGAGTACCAAATATGGGTTATTCCAGGCCAGGGAACCAACCCCATCCTCTGGGGTTGCACGCAACAGTGCGCTCTCAGTGCCGGTCCTAAGCCGTATAAAAATTGGAGACGGTTGTGTCAGGAAGGGCATCCGGCATAAATACGCAGACCAATGATCCGCTGTGGCGACCCTTAATGGGAGCAGCCAAAAGAGGAACATTTGTGAGTACCAAATATCTTTTGGTATTGTTTTCAACTGTACCCTAAATAACAGCATCTTGATTTGGGAAAGACGTTGTTTTGAAATATAGTTAGCTTGCTTACTCAGTCACATTAAACAGAAGATGGAAAGCTTTCCAGAAAGGTCCAAAAGACATCTGGTTCAGGAGTTGAATAAAATTATGTTCTGCAAATTGGCATTTGTTTTGTAATTTGTTAATGAAAAATGAAAGTTTTTTCTTAGCAACCCTGTTTTTTTCAGCATTTTTCAGTGTTTCTAGGGCATGGTCGTAGGTTTAACATTAAAAGCAAAACATAAAAGGCACAGTCCATGCCCACTTCAGGTTTAAATCCAAATACGAAAACAAATTCAAATATTCTGAGGACTAAACAGATTCAGTTAATGGCATTGCATTATACCCCTATTATATACAGTCTCCTCCGAAAGTACTGGAACGGCAAGACCAATTCTTTTGTTTTTGCTATACACTGAAGACATATGGGTTTTAAATCAAAAGATAAATATGAGACAATAGATCAGAATTTCAGCTTTCATTTCCTGATATTTACATCTAGATGTGTTAAACAACTTAGAATATGGCACCTTTGGTGGCAGACCTCACAATTTTTAGGTGAGCAAATGTATTGGGACAAATAGTCTTAAAGTAAATGACACTTAATATTTGGTTGCATATTCCTTGCTTGCAATAACTGCATCAAGCTGGCAAACCACTGACATCACCAAACTGTTGGTTTCTTCTTTTGTGATGTTCTTCCAGGCTTGTAGCACAGCTTCTTTCAGTTACTGTTTGTTTGGGGGTATATATTTTAGACAGAGAGGCCACATTGAAAATCTGGAATTTGTTTTTTTTTATTTATAATTGGAAATAAACAGAAAGTTTTTGAATTTTGAAAATTCTAAAACAAAAAAGGAAATGTGCAAAATTTCTAGATCGCTATTTAAATGTAAGTAAATTTGTGATATTGACCATGTTTAACTTTGCACAAAAGGTCAGATTTGATTCTTATTCCATGATTCTTATTCCTTCCATTGAAGCACGTGTTCTGCTTTCACAAGTTGTTGCTGATATCATTTGTAATGAAAATCTTTCTGCACAAAGCGAGCTCCATGAAGACATGGTGTGTGAAGGTTGGAGTGGAAGAACTCGAGTGTCCTGCACAGAGCCCTGACCTCAACCCCACTGAACACCTTTGGGATGAACTGGAACACCGACTGCACCCCAGACCTCCTCACCAACATCAGCGCCTGATCTCACTAATGCTCTTGTAGCTGAATGAACACAAATCCCC